GTTGGGCACTGTGCTGATTCCTTTATTTGCATATCTTTTTTTTTCTGGTACCTTCCTGGGGATCAAACCCAGAATATTATTGCATATGCTAAATAAATGCTCTACCACAGAGCCCCCACCCTAGCTCTACATACATACTTACCTTAATAATAATTTGGGTTTTTAGAGGTAGGGTCTCCCTGTAGCCTGTGGAACTCGTTATATAGACCTGACTGACTTCCATCTAACAAAGATCCACCTGCCTCTGCCTCTGCCTCTGCCTCCCAAGTGCTGGGAGTAAAGGCGTGCACTACCATGCCTGGCCTTAGTAATTATTAATCGAACTTTTCCTGAGGAGGCATGAACAAATGTCCACTCACCTCCAGATAGGGCACCCACAACAGACCAAAGCCCAGCTTGGTGAACCAGTAAGTTTGTTGGGCTTACTTACGGAGTATGGGTGACCCCAGAGCAGCCTCACCACCAAAGTCTGACCCCAGCATGGACAATGACTTCCTCATTGTTGCATAGATGGAATCTTCTCTACCTACTTCATTTAACCTTCCATACTCTATGTACTCCAGTACTTCAGGAGGCCTATCAAGTACAGATGGGGTAGAATTCCATTCAGCTGGCTGGGAGGTGCAGGAAGGAGTGGGTGAGATCTCAGGGAATCATCTAATGACCACCTTGTTCTAGGAAGGAATATCAACAGCCCTGATTTTTTTTTTGGAGGGGGTGGAGGTTGAGACAGTATCTTGCCATGTAGATCAGGCTGGCCTCAAACTCAGAAGAGGCCTCTGCCTATGCCTCCAGAGTGCTGGGACTAAAGGTGTGTACCACCAAGCCCAGCAACAGGCCTGATTCGAGAATCTACTTACAAGTATTCATAGTTGCTCTGATGAAAGTGGTAATGGTTGTTATGCTCAGAGGACAACATTCCACAACAATAATGCTTGGTAGTAATTAGTTTATATCTTAGTTAATTTTATGCAGTTTTTAAAATACTGTGTACACTCAGGAAGCAGAGAGGCAGGCAGATTTCTGTGGGTTCAAGGCCAACCTGGTTTACATAATGAGACTATGTCTCAAAAAAATAGTATATATATTATATACTGAGTACTATATAATGATAATTATAGAGTCTACCATTAGAAATATGGTATCATTAGGCAAAGAATTATTAAATTAATACAAATAAATGATAGTTAACCAAGATTGAAGCTAAAAGGAAGAAGTATAAGGTATTTGTGAGTGAATGTTAATGAAGATACTTATCCCCAGTTGAAAAAATAATGTAAAATTTTCCTAGGAAACTAATTTTTTTTTCTTGTGTCATTTTGAGACTGGGTCTCCCTGAGCCCCAGCTGGCCTGGAATTCCCTGTGTAGACCAGGCTGGCCTTGATTTCATAGAGATCCACCTGCCTCTGCCTCCAGAGTACTGGGGCTAAAGGAGTGCGTGAGGGAGAGGGAGAGAGAGAATATGCATGAGTGTATAGGGGACCAGCTGAAGCCAGAAGGAACCAGAGTTACAGGTAGTTGTGAGCTGCCTGACATGGATGTTGTAACCTGAACTCAGGTTCTCTGCAGGAGCAGTATGCACTGTTAACCACTGAGCCATTTCTTCAGCTCTGAAAATAATTTTTTAAAGATTTTTTATTTTTAATTATGCATATGCATGTGGGTATGTGCATGTGAGTGCTGGTGCCCTCAGCCAGAAGCATTAGATCCTTCTTAGAGTTGGGTCACAGGTGGTTGTGAGCCACTCACTGTGAGTGCTGGGAACCAAGCTGAATAGAACTGGAGTTAGCAGAAGGTTGTTAACCACCATGTGGGTGCTGGAACCTGAACTCTCGTCCTCTGTAAGAGCAATATACACTCTTAATCACTTAACCATTAAGCAATCTCTCCAACCCCTAAGGAAAGTAATTTTTGAGCTGAGATTTTCCTGGTAGATAGAGATTAAGTGATGACTGATTTCTAAAGGAGAGAAAAATTCAGGCAAAGGAAATAGATAGACAGGCTAGAAAGGAAGGTAGCCAGTTCAGAAACAGAAAGGTCACATGTGGAGGATGGAAAGCAAAAGGGAACTGTGTGGCAGAGTAAAAGGTTGGGGCTAGACAGCCCTGTGGGGGCTTGCTAAGTTAAGGGTTTAGGAACAGTTTTTTCTTCTTTTAAAAACTATTTTAGAGAAACAATGGTATATTGAGCCAGGCCTGGTGGCACATGCCTTTAATCCCAGAATTCTGGAGACAGAGGCAGGTGGAGCTCTGAGTTCAAGGCCAGTCTGGTCTCCATGATGAATCCAGGAATCCAGGCCTACAGGGAGACCCTGTCTCAAAAAGACCAAAAAAAAAATAAAAAAGGTATATTATTTCAAGCAATGAGTTTCTTTGTTAATGCCTGTTACCTTTCTGTTTCAGCAGTGATAAAGTAACTTTTAATTATGTATGATCATAACAATGAAGACCTCTAGGATATAATTAAGAGACAATACTTTTACTGCACTGCAGCTATGGTAAAAATGTAGTGGTAGCACACACCTTTAGTTCCAGCACTTGGGAGGCAGAGGCAGGAGGATCTCTGTGAGTTCAAGGCCAGCCTGGTTTACATAGTGAGTTCCAGGTCAGGTGCTGGGGCCACAGGGAGACCCTGTCTCAGGAAGACCAAAAAAAAAAAAAAAAAAAAAAAGAAGTAGTGAACTATAAAGTTTCCCAGTAATTATTGCCCAAGGATTTGGACCTTAGTCTGAGAGCATTGGGAATCATTGGGGAGTTTTCAGCAGGGAAGTCCAACCACGGATTTCTATTTCAGAAAGCTCACACTGACTGCTGTATAGAAACTGGTTTGATTAAAGACAGATGAAGATGAGGGTTTGGGGGACTAAATTCCAGTCCATCCAGAGCAGCAATGTAGTAAGGCCTTGTCTAAAAAAAAAAAAAAAAAAAAAAAAAAAAAAAAACCAAACCATGAGCTTGTATTGGCTGGTTTGGAAGCTGTGGAAGGCTCAATCAAAACTGAATTCTGTGCAAGGCTGAGGACCAGAGTTTGGCTGGGTCCTCTGGAAGAGCTCACTGGTCAGCCTGCCTAGTTGAATCAGTGGACCCTAGATTCTGTGGGAAAACCTGTTCGAAAAAATAAGGTGGATGGTGTGAGAGGAGAAATGGCACCTAAGGTTGTCCTTTGGCCTCCTCATGCTTGCACATGTTCAGACACGTGAACATGTACACACACAAATATTAGGTAGAGAAGCATCTAGGAAGATTGATACCTAATATTGATCTCTGTCTTTCACATGTCCGTGCTCACACAATGCATGTGTGGACAGGAACACATACACAAAAAACCTTTTTACTTTTTAAAAAAAAATTTTTTTTTGGTCTTTTTGAGACAGGGTCTCCCTGTAACCCCAGCTGTCCTGGAACTCACTATGTAGACCAGGCTGGCCTTGAACTTACAGAGATCTGCCTGCCTCTGCCTCCTGAGTGCTGGGATTAAAGGTGTGCGCCATCACGCCAGGCTAAAAAACCTTTTTAAACAAAATTTTATTGTTTATTGAATGTTGGTTGATTTTCATACCATATAGTTTAATGGTATTTAGATCCCCTCCCCTATTCACACCTCCCCCCACTGCCCCCTGCCCAATTTAATACTCTCTTACGTGTGTGTGTGTGTGTGTGTGTGCCCTATAGAGTCTGATTTGTATCCCCATATGTCCTTCAGTGTGGGTTCACCCACTGTACCCACCAAGAGTTGCATCCCTGTAAGACACTATCTCTCCCAGCAGTCATCAATTGCCCAAAGTCCCTTAGGTTGGTTTGAGTTTTTTTTTACCTACTTTCCCATGTCTGTGCTGGGGTTTTGTCTGGTTTAAGCTTGCATAGGACTTGTGTATGCTGTCAACATTACTCTGAGTTTATATGAATAACTAGCTGTCTGGAAGACTGTTTCCTTGTGGTCATCCACCCCCTCTGGCTCTTACAATCTTTCTGCCTCCTCTTCTGCAATGATCTCTGAGCCTTGGGAGGCAGAGGTTTGAAATAGGTGCTGTATTCAGGGATAAGCACTCTGTGACCTCTTGTTCTCTGTATATTGACTTCTGTGTTAATTACCATCTGTTATTGTTTATTGGTGTCTTTGGTGTTTTTTGTTTTGGCTTTTTTTTCCATCTTTTTTTTTTTAATATGTATGAGTGGTTTGCCTGAGTGTGTGTGTGTGTGTGTACACCACCTGCAGGCATTGTCTGCAAAGGCCAGAAAAGGGCATTTGAGTCCCTGGAACTAGAGTTACAGCCGGTTAGTTGCCATGTGGGTGCTGGGTACCAAACCCGGGTCCTCTGGAAAAGCAAGTGCTCATGACCACTGAGCCATTTCTCCTGTCATTTTTTCATTTTTTAAAACAGTCTCATGTGGCCTAAGCTGGTCTCCAGCTACATAGACAAGGTTGATCTTGAACTCCTGATCATCCTACCTCTACTTCCCAAGTGTTGGGATTACAGGCATTTTCCTACTACATATTGCTGGTGTGTTTTGGGTTTTGTTTTTTTTTTTCTTTTGGATGAAAATGAGGGCGTAAAATTTCATCAGTTCAAACCATTTTAGTGCTATTTTATGGTTACATGATTATGGTTATATCCCTTAAAGTATACTGATATACACATAGGAATGCAAAAAAAATTTTTGACATGGGTCTCCCTGTAGCCCCAGCTGACCTGGAGCTCACTATGTAGACCAGGCTAGCCTCTGTCTCACAGAGATCCTCTGGCCTCTACCCACCACTTTAATCACCAAGTGCTGTGATTAAAGGCATGTGCCACCACACCTGGCTAAGAATGATTTTTTTTTCTTTGTTTTTTTGAGACAGGGTCTCCCTGTAGCCCCAGCTGTCCTGGAACTCACTATGTAGACCAGGCTGGCCTTGAATTCACAGAGATCTGCCTGCCTCTGCCTCCCAAGTGCTGAGAATGATTTTTTTAAATGCTATTTAGAACCTTAACCTTTGTTTCTGTTTACTTTTACAGTAGCACAAAGAATGAAAGAAGTAGATAATCTTGAAAGTATAAAAGAAGAATGGTAAGTTAATTCAAGCAATGAAGGTTTAAAATTTTTTAATTTTATTTTATGTATTTGAGTGTTCTGTGTGCATGTAAGTACACTTGTGTTGTGCAATGCCCTTGTGTTGTGCAGTGCCCTCAGAGGTCAGAAGAGGGCATCAGATCCCCAGACATTGGAATTACAGTTGGTTGTTAGCGGCCATGTGGGTGTTGGGAACCGAACTTGTGTTCTCTTAACTGCTGAGCCATCTCTCCAGCCCATAAGCAGTGAATTTTTATGTCTCTGTTAGTCTCTTTCTGTTTTTATTGCATCTCACTGGCAGAGATAGTCAAGTAACTTGGTTATTATATAACTTCCTCAGCAAGTACCCAGTAGTAATTTATGTTCTACTTTGTTTCTCCATTGCTGTGACAAAACACTGACCAATACCAACTTGGGGAGGAAAGGGTTTATTTAGCTTACATCTCCCGGATCACAGTTCATCAGGGAGCCCAAGGTAGGAACTCAGGGCAGGAACCTGGAGGCAGGAGCTGGAATACAGGCCATGGAGGAACTCTGCTTACTGGCTTGCTCTCCTGGCCCCTGCTCAGCCTGCTTTCTTAGGCAACACAGGCCTACCTACCCAGGGCTGGGCCCTCCCACATCACTCAACAATCAGGAAGGTGCCCCATGGACATGGCCATAGGCCAGTCCAATGAAAACAACTCCCCATTTGAGGCTCCCTCAACCCAGGTGTGTCAAATTGACACTAAAACTATCTAGCACAGAGGTTTTTTTTTTTTTTGGTCTTTTTGAGGCAAAGTCTCCCTGTAGCCGCCTGGATTCGCTAATGGAAACCAGGCTGGCTGTGAACTCACAGAGCTCTGCCTGCCTCTGCCTCCCGAGTATTGGGATTAAAGGCATATGCCACCATGCCCAGCTGAGGTTTTCTTTTTTTTTTTAAACCATACTTACACTGAACAGATTGTAGCAAAAGTTTGTTCCCTTAATTGTATCCTAGAGATCTTCATTGTTAAGGTTGGGATTGCTTTTTCTTTCTCTATTGTTTCTTTTCCCCTTTCCTTTTTCCTTTCCTATTTTATTGTTCCTTTCTTTTGTAGGAATTGAACCTAGGGCCTCACACATGCTAGACGAATACTCTGTCCCTGAGCTACATCTCTAGCTTTCTTTTTGCTTTTTGTTTTGCCCAGCCTGGCCTGAACTCTGTAGTTAGGCAGTCAATGAATTTGCAAATTTGCCTCAGCTTCCCAAGTAACTGGGAATACAGGCCTAGACCACCAGGTCTTGCTATGATTTTTTATTTTGTTTTGTTTTTGGTTTTGTTGAGACAGTTCTCCCTGTAGCCCCAGCTCCCCTGGCACTCACTATGTAGACCAGGCTGGCCTTGATCTCACAGAGATCTACCTGCCTCTGCCTCCCAAGTACTGGGACTAAAGGTGTGCGCCACCACACCTAGCTATGATTGTTTCTTTTTAAAATTGCTATTTGAATATAATTCATTATTATTATCATTATTGTGTGTGTGTATGTGTGTGTTTACACATAAGCATCTGCATGCCACTATGTGAGTGTGGGGATCAGGGGACAACTTTGTGGAGCCAATTCTTTCCTTTCATATTTACATGGGTTCTGGGAGTTGAACTCAGGACTACAAGCATGTGAGGCAAACATTCTACCAACTGAGCTATATCCCCAGTATCCACATCTTAGAGATAAGGAAACCAAATCACGTAAATTTGTTTCTTTTAAAAATTTATTTATTTTATGTGAGTGTGTGTGTGTGTGTGTGTGTGTGTGTGTATTTTTTTTCCTGGTCTCTTTGAGACAGGGTTTCCCTGTAGTCTCCGCTGGCCTGGAACTCACTATGTAGACCAGGCTGGCCTTAAACTCACAGAGATACTCCTGCCTTTGCCTCCCGAGTGCTGGGACTAAAGGTGTGTGCCACCACCCCCGGCTTAATTATTTTTATTTTAGGTGTATGAATGTTATGCCTGGATGTATATAAGTGTATCTTTGTCATGCAGTGCCTGAGGCAGTCAGAAGAGGGCATTGGATCCCCTCGAATGGAGTTATAGGTGATTGTTAGCTGCTATGTGGGTGTTGGGATTTGAACCCAGTTCCTCTGTAAGAGCAGCCAGTTCTCTTAACCACTGAGCCGTCTCTCCAGTCCTAAATTTAAGTTTCTTACTATGACTTGGCTTTTCTTACTGTAACTAACGAAGGTATCTAAAGATAAACCACAGAGCCTGGACTTGTAAATAGTATTATATTTATACTACACAGCTGTACAGATAAAGGGAAAATCATTTCTATAAGAAAACCCTTTTACAGTATGATTATTTCTGTATGAGAGCTATCTTCTATTTGTTTTGGAACAAGTATAATTAATACTGATAATATTAGTGTTGAAGCAGTAGATATGTAGAACAAATGATCTAGGGAAGTAAAAAGATGACACTAACTTAAAACATTACCTTCAGTATAAGCATTGTGTCTTGTTTTTATGTATGTGTACAAGTGCATGTAAGTACAGGTGATTGTGAAAGCCAGAAGATAATCTCAGGTGTTGTTCCTTAGGCATCATACACCTTTTTTTGAGACAAAGTCTCCCCAGCACTGGCATTTGTAAGTGTGTACCACCACACCTGGCTTTTTTTTTGTTGTTGTTGTTGTTGTTGTTTTTTGCCTTTTTGAGACAGGGTCTTCATGTAGCCCCAGCTGTCTTGGAACTCACTATATAGACCAGGTTGGCCTTGAACTCACAGAGATCCTCCTGCCTCTGCCTCCCGAGTGCCTGGATTAAAGGCGTGCGCCACCACACTGAGCCACACCTGGCTTTTTAAAATGTGGTTTATGAGGTTCAAACTCAGGTCTTTGTGTTTGCCTTATAAGTACTTTACCAACTGAGCTGTCTCCCCAAACCTGAGTATCAACATTTTAATAACAATATAATGATGTCTGTTTTGAGAGATTGTCTTACATAGTGATTAAGAACATAGGCTTGCCACACATGGTTGCTCATACCTTTAATCCTGTATTCTCCAGAGGCAGAGCAGCCAGGGCTACATAGTAAGACTCTGTCTCAAAGCAAAACAAAATAAAACAAACAAACAAAAAACCCCACAAAGAACATTAGCCTAGTAAGCCTGAATTCAGTTCCCAGCTCTGCCTGCCAATAGGCTAATAGTTCATCTATTAAGTGAAGATTAAAAAATAAAACCTTTAGGATCATTGTGAAGATTGAATGAGTTGGCACATGTACAGTATTTAGAATAGTTTTTTATAGAGTATTGTGGTTCGAAGCATAGACTTGGGGGGTAGATTAACAGCAGGATTAATAAGTGTATCTACCTTATGATTCCTGTCAATGTAAGATAGAAAAGTGTTGAGATTTCATCACTTTCATAAATCATCTGCATAGCTTTCAAAAGCTCAACCAGGCTGGGTGTAGTGGCACACGAGTTTAAGCGGATCTTTGTGAGTTCAAGGCCAGCCTGGTCTACATAGTGAGTTCCAGGACAGCTGGGGCTATAGGGAGACCCTGTCTCAAAAAGACCAAAAAAAAAAAAGCTCAGCCAGAGGCCATGCATGCTTTTAATCCTAGCACTGTCTCTGAGTTTGAGGCTAGCCTGATCTAAATAGCAAGTTCCAGCATTATGTAGTCAGGCTACATAGTGAGACCATGTCTTAACAAAACAAACAAAAAAGTTCAGCCAGAAACCATTTCTGGCAAATTAAAAACTCAGGTAATATTTCTTATACAATGAAATTCAAAATAAATACCAATAGAAAACCAGGCAGAGTGGCACATGCTTGTCAGCCTAGCACTCAGGAGGTAGAGGCATGAGAATCAACTCAAGACCATCTTCAGCTATATAAAGTGTTTGAGGCTAGCCTGGGCTACATGAGACTCCATTTAAAAAACAAAAACTGGTGATTAAACCACTACAATGTCATCAATGGAGAAATATTCTGAGTGTGAAAAGGCAAAAATAATATGCTTGTTTCTGTCACCAAAGAGTATGTAGTAATTTCTCTTGAAGTCATTTGAAGCAGAGTACAGTGGCACAGTGGGCCTCTTAGTCCCAGCATCATGGGAGGCTGAGTCAGGATTGCTTGAGTCCAGGAGTTTGAGGCCATCTTTGGCAAAATAGTAAGACTCTCTGAAAAAAAAAAAAAGGTTATTTTTGAGCCCTTCAAAAATAACATTTTGGCTAGATGTAGCTTAATTCATAGGGTTCTTGCCTAGCATGCATGAGGCCCTGGACTGAATCCCCAGCATCTTATAAGCTGGTGGCACACGCCTGTAATTCTAGCACGTGGTAGATGGAGGCAGGAAGATCAGTAGTTCGAGGTCATCCTCAGCTACATAAGGAATTTGAGGCCAGGCTGTGATATATGAGATCTTGTTTCAAAAAGAAAAGCAAAAAAGTTTTATACTCTGGACCAATGGTTCTAAATCTGGTGAGATTTACCCCCCAGACACTTTTTTGGCATTTACAAAGATACTTTTAGTTGTTGTAACATTTGAGTGTTTTTTGGTCTTTTTTGAGACAGGGTAGCCTCTCTGTAGCCCCAGCTGTCCTAAAACTTGCTATATAGACCATGCTGGCCTTGAATTCACAGAGATCCACCTGCCTGTACTGAGATTAAAGGCATGCACAACCATGCCCGGCTTAGTTATTTTAACATTTTTGGTAGAGATTGGGTAATGCTTTTATATGCTACTCACATCTTAAAAATTTTTTTTTCAAAGATTAATTTGTATTTGAAACAGGGTCTCACTATGTAGCACTGGCTGGCCTGGATGTTGCTATGTAGACCAGGCTGATCTTGAACTCAGATCCACCTGCTTCTGCCTCCTGAGTACTGGGATTAAAGATGTGTGTCACCATGCTGGGCCCAAAGATTTATTTTTAATTTTGTGTATGTGTTTATGTCTATCTGTGGGTATGGGCACATGAGTGCAGGTGCCTGAGGAGGGGAGAAGAGTGTGGAATCTCCTGGAGCAGGAATTGCAGGCAGTGTGAGCTGCCAGACATGGGTGCTTAGGAACTGAATTCAGGTTCTCTGCAAGAGCAATACACACTCTTAACCTGTGAACCATCTCTTCAGTCCCCTGTTGACGTCTTTTTTACTTTTTTGAGGGGGAGTGAGTGTTCTTTTTTGAGATAGGGTCTCCTTGTAGTGTCAGCTGTCTTGAAACTCACTATGTAGACCAGGCTGGACTTGAACTCATAGAGATCCTCCTGCCTCTGCCTCCCAAGTGTTGGGACTAAAGGCATGCACACCATGCCAGGCCTGACTTTTTTTGGTTTTGGGTTTTTTAGATTTTTTTTTTTTTTTTTGTCTTTTTGAGACAGGGTCTCCCTGTAGCCCCAGCTGTCTTGGAACTCACTGTATAGACCAGGCTGACCTTGAATTCACTGCCTGCCTCTGCCTCCCAAGTGGTGGAATTAAATGTTTTTGGATTTTTAAATTCTAGGACTGGGGACTGGAGAGATGGCTCAGCAGTTAAGAGCACTAGCTGCTCTTGCAGAAGACCCAGGTTCAATTCCTGGCACTCACATGGTGGCTAACAGCCATCTGTAACTCCAGTTCCAGGGGATCTGATGCCCTCTTCTGACCTCTGAGGGCATTGCATGACACAGGTGTGCTTACATACATGCAGGCAGTACAGTCATACATATAAAAATAAATAAAATATTTTAAATTCTGGCACTAGTACGATTGCTTTTTGGGTAAAAACCCTTGATGCCAAGCCAGATGAGCTGAGTTCAGTCCCTGGAACTCCAGAAAGTTGTCCTCCAACCTCTACAAGAATGTCATGGCCCATATGTACAGAGGGAAGAGAGGAAGGGGACAGAATTTTATAGTTTTTTTTTAATAAATTTTTTAAAGCTAGTATACAAAGTAGTGGGTTTCACCCAGATGTGGCAACACATACCTTTAATTCCAGTACTCAGGAGGCGGAAGCAGAGGCAAGTGGACCTCTGAGTTGGAGACCAGCCTTGTCTACATAACAAGTTCCAGGACAGCTGGGACTACAGGGAGACCCTGTATCAAAAATAAATAAATAAATAAATAAATAAATAAATAAATAGATGATTTCATTATGGCATTTTCATACATATGTGTCATTATACCTTGTTATCATTTGTCCTCAACACTGCTCTTGCAGTTAGTGGTACTGTATGGATAAAAGGCCAAGGGTCCTGCTAAACATCCTAAAATTGAAAGGATCCTTCACATAGCAAAGTGTTAGCCCTCCCCAAATGTCTGTAGAGCTGGTGTAGACTAAAAAGTGTCCAATGACTCCCCCACGATTACGTATTTATTATGTTAGAAGAGAGCCTAAACTATGGGCTTGTGGTAACATCTTCTAATTAGAACTTAACATCCTTTAATTAGAAAAACATTTGTTAGTTTTTAGAGAACTGATAGCTTATTTTTCTTCTTTGTTTAGGGTTTGTGAAACAGGATCTGACAACCAACCCCTCAATGATAATCAACAAAGGAATTGTGAATATTTTGTTGACAGCCTTTTTGAGGAAGCTGAGAAGGTTGGTGCCAAATGCTTGTCCCCCACTGAACAGAGGAAGCAGGTAAATGTCTGTTGAGTATTGGCCTTTATGAGGAACTCTAAGGTCAAAACTGCTATTGTCATATTAAAAATAATGGTGGCGCACGCCTTTAATCCCAACACTCGGGAGGCAGAGGCGGATCTCTGTGAGTTCAAGGCCAGCCTGGTCTACATAGTGAGTTCCAGGACAGCTGGGGCTACAGGGAGACCCTGTCTCAAAAAGACAAAAATAATAATAATAATAATAATAATATTTGCTATTTTCATTGTGTTGAACTTGTATAAATGTTGTAAAAGCAATGGTGGGTGAAACTGCTGGCATGTTAGCAGGAATCAAAGCAGTCACAACAAATTTTCCTTTCATATTTACATGGGTTCTGGGAGTTGAACTCAGGATTATAAGCATGTGAGGCAAACATTTTACCAACTGAGCTGTATCCCCAGTATCCACATCTTAGAGATAAGGAAACCAAATCACGTAAATTTGTTTCTTTTAAAAATTTATTTATTTTCTTTTTGAGACAGGGTCTCCTTGTAGTCTCCGCTGGCCTGGAACTCACTATGTAGACCAGGCTGGCCTTAAACTCACAGAGATACTCCTGCCTTTGCCTCCCGAGTGCTGGGACTAAAGGTGTGTGCCACCACCCCCGGCTTAATTATTTTTATTTTAGGTGTATGAATGTTATGCCCAGATGTATATTTCTTATACAATGAAATACAAAATAAATACCAATAGAAAACCAGGCAGAGTGGCACATGCTTGTCAGCCTAGCACTCAGGAGGTAGAGGCATGAGAATCAACTCAAGACCATCTTCAGCTATATAAAGTGTTTGAAGCTAGCCTGGGCTACATGAGACGCCATTTCAAAAAACAAAAATGGGTGATTAAACCACTATAATGTCATGAATGGAGAAATATTCTGTGGGTTTTCTCTTCACTTCCTTGGTTGCTTCTTTTGATGTACAGAAGCTTTTTAGTTTAATGAGGTCCCAATTGTTGATTCAGGACTGTGTTTCCTAAGCAATTGATGTCCGGTTTAGAAACTCCTTCCTTTCCTATACCTGTATCTTGTAGGATATTGCCAGTGTTTTCTTCTAATAGTTTCAAGAGTTTCAGGCTTCACATTGTGGTCTTTGATCCATTTGGAGTTGACTTTTGTGCAAGGTGAAAGATAGGGGTTTAGTTTCATTCTTCTACAGGTAGAGATCCAGTTTTGCCAGCACCATTTGCTGAGCATGCTGTCTTTCCTCCAGTGAATGTTCTTGGCCCCTTTGTCAGATGTCAGATGACTGAAATTACATGTACTCATATTTGGGTCTTCAATTTTGTTCCATTGATCTATGGGTCTATTTTTGTGCCAGTACCATGTTGTTTTTATGACTATAGCTCTGTAATACAGTTTAAAATCTGGTATAGTAATTCCCCCATCATTGCTCTTAGTTCTCAGGGTTGCTTTGGCTATCCAAGGTTTTTTGTGCTTCCATATGAATCTTAGGATGTTTTTTTTCTAATTCTGTGAAGAATGTTATGAGGACTTTCATTGGCATTGCATTGAATCTATAAATGGCTTTTGGTAGGATGGTCATTTTCACAATATTAATTCTTCCAATCCATGAGCATGGGAGGTTCTTCCATCTTCTGATGTCTTCCTCAATCTTTCTTTAAAGATTTAAAATTTTCCTTGTAGAGGTCTTTGTAATTCCTTTGGGCAGGGTTATTCCAAAAAGCTTTTTTTTTTTTTTTTTAAGCTATGGTGAAAAGGGGTGGTTTCCATGTGCTCTTTCTGTGATTGCTTGTTATTGGCATATAGAAAGGCTACAGACTTTTGTATATTAATTTTGTAACCTGCCACTTTACTGAATGTATTAATAATTTCTAGGAGCTTTCGCGTGGAATTTTTGGCGTCCCTTAGATATATTATCATATCATCTGCAAAAAGGGATAATTTGAGCTCTTCTTTTCCAATTGTTACTCCTTTAATTTCCTACTCTTGTCTTATTGCTCTTGCAAGAATTTGAAGCACTATGTTAAAGAGATGTGGAGATAGTGGACAGCTTTGTCTGGTTCCTGATTTCAATGGGAGTGCTTCAAGTTTTTCTCCATTTAGAATGTTGCTGGCTGTGGGTTTGTTATACATGGCTTTAATTATATTGAGGTATGTTCCCTCGAGTCCAATTCTCTCTAGGACTTTGACCATAAATGCATGTTGAATTTTGTCAAAGGCCTTCTCTGCATCTATTGAGATGACCATGTGGTTCTTGTCTTTGAGCCCACTTATATGATTTATGACGTTTATTGACTTACGTATATTGAATCAGCCCTGTATCTCTGGGATAAAGCTGACTTGATCATGGTGGATGATCTTTTTGATGGGTGTCTGTATGCGGTTTGCAAGTATCTTGTTGAGAATTTTTGCATCTACGTTCATTAAGGACATGGGTCTATAGTTTTCTTTTTTGTCTTCTTTAAATGTCTGGTAGAATTCTACTGTAAATCGACCTGGGTCTGGGATCTTTTTAGTTGGGAGGTTTGTATTATTGTTTCGATTTCCTTATATGGTATCGGTCTGTTTAAAAAAGGTTGATCTCTTTTCAGTTTAACTTTGGTGGTTCCCATGACTTTAGATATCCATCAATTTCTTTTAGATTTCCAAATTTAATAGCATATAGATTTTTAAAATATTCCCTTATAAAGGTCTGGATCTTTGGAGTGAGTGCTGTGATGTTTCCCCTTTCATTCTGATTATGTTGATTTGGATTTTCTCTTTCTTTCTTTTGGTTAGCTGGGCTGACTAAGGGTCTGTCTATCTTTTTTAGCTTTTCAATGAACCATCTCTGAGATTCTTTGTATTGTTTTCTTTGTTTCTATTTCATTAATTTCTGCTCTCATTTTTGTTATTTCTTCTTGTCTGCTGGGTTTGTTCTTGCTTTTCAAGTGTCTTGAGTTGCGATGTTAAGTCATTTATTTGTGATCTTTCCGATTTTTTAATGTAGGTACTTAGAGCTATAAACTTCCCTTTAAGGACTGCTTTCAATGTGTCCCAGAGGTTTTGTTGTGTTGTATTGTCCTTTTCATTTAGTTCCAGGAATACTTTTCATTCTTTCTTAATTTCTCCTTTGACCCATTCATCATTCAGGAGTGTGTTGTGTAATCTCCATGTGTTCATGTAGTTACTAGGGCTTCTTCTGGTGTTGATTTTAAGCTTTATTGCATTGTGGTCTGATAGAATGCATGGAATTATTTCAATCTTTTCATGTTTGTTGAAGCTTGTTTTGTGCCTCAGTTTATGGTCGATTTTGGAGAAAGTTCCATGGGGTTTGGAGTAGAAAGTATATTCTTTGTTGCTTGGGTGGAATATTTGGTAGATGTCTCTTAGATCCATTTGATGTATGGTATTGTTTAATTCAGAAGTCTCTCTGTTAATTCTCTGTCCTGTTGACCTATCTAATGGTGACAATGGGGTATTGAAGTCCCCTACTATTAATGAGTTGGGATTAATCTGGGTCTTAAAGTCCTGTAGTACTGTTTTTATGAAGTTGGGTGCACCAGAGATTGGTGAATATATGTTCATGATTGTAATACCTTCCTGTCAGTTGTTCCTTTGATCAGAATGAAGTGGCCCTCTTTATCTCTTCTGATTAGTTTTAGTTTGAAGCCTATTTTGTCAGATATTAGAATTCCAATGCCTGCTTTTTTCTTAGTACCATTCGTGTGGTATATTTTTTTCCATCCTTTCACCTTAAGGTAGTGCCTGTCTTTGAAAGTGAGATGAGTTTCTTGCAGACAACAAAAAGATGGGTTTTGTTTCTTAATACATTCAACTAGTCTGTGTCTTTTGACTGGGGAGTTCAGTCCGTTGATATTTAAAGTTATTAATGAAAGATGTGTATTGATTCATTTTTATTTCTGTTCACATTCTCGATGTAGCTGTCCATTTCCAGTTATACCTTCATTAAGTCTCTTTCTGTAACCCCTGTGTATAGTTCAGGAATTCTCTGAAGGGCTGGTTTTGTGGACATGAATTCTTTCAGCCTATTTATGTCATGGAAGATTTTTCTTTCCCCTTCAACTATAATAGACATTTTGGCTGGGTAAAGTAATCTGGGTTGGCATCTGTGGTCATTTAGAACTGGGAATACTTTGGTCCAGGCTCTTCTGGCTTTCGTAATTTGCACTGAAAAAGTCAGATGTAATTATTATTTTTACTTTATGTGTATGAGTGTATTGCCTGCATGTATGTGAGTGCACCCATGCAATGGGTTTGTGAGTGCAATGTCACCGAGGTCAGAAGAGGGCTTTGGATTCCCCTGAAACTGGAGTTAAGGAGGGTTCGTAGCTGCCATGTGGGTGCTGGGAATCAAACCTGGGTCCTCTACAAGAGCAGTCAGTGCTCTTAACCACTGAGCCATCTCTCCAGTCCCACGTTTAGTGTTTTTACTATGATGTGTCTTGGAGACTTTCTTTTCTGGTCCTGTGTATTTGGTGTTCTATATGCTTATATTTATATAGGCATATCTTTCTTTAATTTTGGGAAATTTTCTTCTACAATCCTGTTGAAGACCTGGTCCATACCATTATCCTAAGAAGCTTCTCCTTCCTGTATGCCCATGATTTGTAAGTTTGGTCTTTTTGTGGTGTTACACAATTCCTGCATATTCCATTCTTGTGATTTCTTAATTTTTTTATTATCTTTGCTTGAGTGGTCTAGTTCGTCATCTTCCAGTCTTGATATCTGTTTCCCATTTCATTCATCCTATTGCTGAGGCTTTCTCCTGTCGTTTCTACTTGGCTTATGGAGTGTTTCACTTCGTTCTTTATTTCAGCCTGAGTATTCTTCAATATTTCTAGCTCTGTTCTGAATTCATTCAGAAGTTTATCCCTATCTTCCTTCAGCTCTATGATTACCTTGTTTGTGTGTTCTTTAAATTCAGTGAATTCTTTTATCATATTCATCATTGTTCTTTTTAATTGTTCTTTTGAATTCCATGTCCTGTGTTATCTCTAGGGGGTTCTCAATGTATTCATCTAGAGGACTGTTGGTACTTGGTGGGGTATATTATTTTGGTTTTTCATGTTATTATTTTTTCTCTGACTTTGACATGTGGATTTTTTTTTGTAGTTTTTGGTTCTTGTTTGAGACTCAAGTCTGCCATTGTTGAGTTTAGATCTGCTGCTTTTTGTAAACTTTATGTGCCGTTGTGGTTTATTTGTTGGGCATGAAAAGCTGATTGGTCTAGGCTTTTTTGATTTTATATTGGAGTAGCCAGATTCCTTTTGTCTTCAGGAGTTCCCACAGAGGCCCAAGTCAGATGAGGAACAGATGCTCTCGGGCTTTCTCCTAATGTCTGTATCCTTCCAGGAAAGATGTTGGCCTTAGGAATTTGAGGGCTGGGCTGGCCTGGGAGCAGGGCCCAGGAAAGATGCTGGCCCCCAGGGATGCAAGGGGAGGTGGGGGCAAGAAGAGTCCCAAGGGCCCCTGGGGACTACAGGGAGGAATTGGGTTGGTCTGGATGCAAAGGATCAGGAAGCAGTTCAGCCAAGAGGTCAGTCCAGAGGTCCGGGGTGCCAAGACTGGAAATGCGCCAGTCTCCCTACTAGGAGGAGAAATGGGGTGGAGGAGCTGGAAAGGTGAATGAGACTGGAAGAGTCAAGGTGCAGTGGGCATGGCAGCCAAACTTACCCAGGAAAGCTGCTGTCTCCAGGAAGCTGTGGGGCTGGGCCGCCCAAAAATGCAAAGGGAGGTGGGGACTAGAGGGAGGTACTGGGTTGGTCTGGATACTAAGGATCAGGAAGCAGTTGGCCCAAGAGGTCAGTCCAGAGGTCTGGGGTGCCAGTCCCCCTGCTAGCAGGAGAGATGGGGTAGGGGAGCTGGGAGGGTGAATGAGGCTGGGGGAGTCAGGTGCAGTGGGCACAGCAGCCAAACTTACCCAGGCAAGCTGTTGGCTCCTAGAAGCTGTGGGGCTCTCCTTTTCTATCTTATCCTTCTCCCCAAACAACTGATTCTTCAAACATTAGTAAATGCCATGATTAGGGATTAAATGAACTATTATATTTTTGTGACTTTTAATACTCTACAGTATAACTGAGTCATATATTATTGTAATATACTATGATAATTGCTGTCCTGGAACTCACTAGGTAGACCAGGCTGGCCTTGAACTCACAGAGATCCGCCTCCCAAGTGCTGGGATTAAAGGCGTGGGCCACCACGCCTGGCCTTAAATTTTTATTATTTTTATTTTATGTGTATGAGTGTATTGCCTGCATGTATGTGAGTGCACCGGTGTCCTGCAGTGCCATGGAAGGACGGTTCGTAGCTGCCATGTGGGCGCTGGGAATCGAACCTGGGTCCTCTGCAAGAGCAATCAGTGCTCTTAACCACTGTGCCATCTCTCCAGTCCCTCCTTTCTACTTTTAAATTGTTCACTAGAATTATTAATTGGCTTCCAGGGAAATGTCTTAATTTTCTTTGTATCTATTAATTCATCCCTGAAACTCTGATAGAAAGCTCTATCTCTTCTCAAACACATGAGTGAATTTTCAAATTTTTTAATATTTATTTTACATTGCTTCAGGATTTAACCTAAGGTCTCATGCATGCTAAGCAAGCTCTACCACTCTTCCTATCTACATTTGTGAATCCTGCTAGTTGAGTTTTTTTCCTGAGAAATGGCTAAGATGAAATTTTTTTTCCTTTTTCCAGTGATCTGATTGCTTGCTAGGGAAACTGAGCTTGGGGGATTTGGGAGGACATTGTTTATTTCCTTGTTTTTAATTGTTTTGTTTTTTTAAGACAGTGTCTCATAGTGTATAGCACTGACTTGCCTGGAACACTTCCTCAGACCAGGTTGACCTCAAACTCAAAGAAATCTGCCTGTCTCTGCCTCCTGAGTGCTGGGATTAAAGGTGTAAGCCTCCATACCTGGCTGGGAAGCTGGTTTTGCCTTAGATCCATAATTCTGAATAGTGTTCTCTGTCCTGATTACTCAATTCTGTGTCTCTGCCAGTTTCTCCTCTTTATGCTTTCATTTTTATGATGCCAATCTTGTAATTTAGTAAAGAAAGTGGGCATGGAAAAAGTACATGGGGGAGCAGATTAGTTAAAATCTTTTGAGTCTTAACTTGTCTTATTCTGTCTTTATACTTGATTGATATAGAACACTCCAGCCCTGTCAGGTATGATGGCACACACCTATAATCACAGCACTAGGGAGTAGAGGCAGGAAGTCAGCTTCAGCTATATAGCAAATTCAAGGCCAGCCTGAGCTTACGTGTAAGGCTGTCACAAAACCAACAGCCTTTGTATGTGGTATTTGTTCCCTACAAGCCTTTAGACTCTGCCCTTTAACTTGATTTTCTTTGGGGCCTTGATATGAGTCCTTTTTCATTTATTCAATACAGAACCAAGCCAGATAATTACTTAGATTTTTTTTTTTTTAAACTTAGGTGTTTTTTGAATTAAGGTATCTTCTGGATGCAGACTCTTTAGGTTCAAGACTTCACTTCTCCCTGCCTGTGTAGCTTAGGATAATTTAATTATGGGTAGTTTCTGTTTCTCCATCTATAAAGAGATAATTCCCACCTTATATAAATATTGACAGGAATATGTTTATGTAGACAAAGTACCTTAAACAGTGATTAGTGTATATTAAATACATACACAAGGACTCTGTATGTGTGTATACATAATATGTACACATGTGTACATGCTAAAAATAATATACACATAGCCGGGCGTGGTGGCACATGCCTTTAATTCCAGCACTCAGGAGGCAGAGGCAGGTGGATCTCTGTGAGTTCAAGGCCAGCCTGGTCTACATAGTGAGTTCCAGGACAGCTGGGGCTACAGGGAGACCCTGTCTCAAAAAGACCAAAAAAAAAACAAAAAAATTTTTTAAAAAATATTTTTAATGTGTATAAGAATTTTACCTGTATGTATGCATGTGCACCACTTGCACACAATGCCCAGAGGCCAGAAGAGGACCTTGGATCCCCTGGAACTGGAGTTATGGATTGTTTTGAGCAACCATGTGGATGCTGGGAACCAAACGTGGGTCGTCTGCAAGAGCAGCAAGTGCTTTTAACCACTAACCCATGTCTTCAGCCCCCTGGTTATCTTTTTAAGCAGTTTTTCAGTCTATACTCTTGTGTTCAGCCTAAAACATGCCTACATTTTGCTGTAATCCTGAAATTTTCTATATTTATATAACGAGTTAACCTTGTTTCTTTGAATATTGTTCATTTTTGTTTAAGATTTATTTTTTTAATTATGTATATATTTTTGTCATGCAGGGAATGTGCACATGTGAATGTATATGCACACAGTTCAGAGGTGGTTGTTAGAAGTTACAAGCAGAAATGATTTATTTATATTTTTTTAATTTGTGTGTGTGTGTGTGTGTGTGTGTGTGTGTGTGTGTTTGCGCACGTGTGTGCATGCTCGCCTGAATGCACATCTGTGGAGAGGTACCTGTGGAGGCCAGAAGTGAGTGTTGGATCCCCTGGAGCTGAATTATAAGGGGTTGTGAGCTGTGTGGTGTGGGTGCTGGGAACTGAATTCTGGTCCTCTGCAAGAGCAGCAAGTTCTCTTAACTGCTGAACCATCTCTCCAGCTGTTTGTTGTTGTTTTGGAGTTGTTTTTTTGGTCTTTTTAAAAAAAATATTTTATTTATTATTTTTATTTTATATGTATGAGTATATTGCCTGCATGTATGTAAGAGCACCCATGTCATGCAATGCCACGGAGGTCAGAAGAGGGCTTTGGATTCCCCTGGATCTGGAGTTAAGGACGGTTCGTAGCTCCATATGGGTGCTGGGAATCAAACCCGGGTCCTCTGCAAGAGCAGTCACCGCTGAGCCATCTCTCCAGCCCCTTTTTGGTCTTTTTGAGACAAGGTCTCCCCAACTGGCCTGGCACTCACTATGTAGACCAGGCTAGCCTTGATCTTACAGAGATCCGCCTTCCTCTGCCTCCCAAGTGCTCAGATTAAAGGGGTGCAGCACCATTCCCAGCCCAGTCCTTTGTTTTTTATTTTTTTGGTCTTTTTGAGACAGGGTTTCCCTGTAGCTCCAGCTGTCCTGGAATTCACTATGTGGATCAGGCTGGCCTTGAACTCACAGAGATCCTCCTGCCTCTGCCTCCCGAGTGCTGGGATCAAAGGCGTGTGCCACCACGCCCGGCTAGTCCTTTGTTTTTTAAAACAGGATTTCACATTGTGTCTGACCTGATACTCAATACATAGCCCAGGGCTAGACACTGGAACTTGAAGTTCTCCTGTCTCAGGCTCTTGAGTCCTGGGATTATAAGCATGTATCATCATATCTGCCTTCTGTACATTTTTTTTTTTTTTAACCAGCGTCTGTCACTATGTAGCTCTGGCTGTTTGGAACTGACTATATAGACCAGGCTGATCTCAAACTCAGAGATCTGCCTGCCTCTGCCTCCAGAGTGATGGAATTAAAGCCACCCACCAGCACACCCAGACCCTGCTAATGACTTTTAAAGATTTATTTAGGGCCAGGAATGTAGGCACATGCCTTTAATCCCAGCAGACAGAGTAAAGGCCAGAGAGGGGCATAAGATTCCCTGAAACTGAAGTTATAGGTGATTGTGAGCTACCTAATGGGAGTGCTGGGAACTGATCTCAGATCCTCTGCAAGAACATTACACTTATTTTTTATATTTTACACTTGAAGTTTGCTCTTAAGAACTCATGAAACATAGTGATAGACATTTCAAAGGGCTTATTTACTACTACCCTTTATTAACTGTGTTTCTTTACCATTTTGCAGGTAGATGTAAATATAAAGTTGTGGAAAAATGGATTCACTGTCAATGATGATTTTAGAAGTTACTCTGATAGTGCAAGTCAGCAGTTTCTGAACTCCATCAAAAATGGGTAAGCAGTCTTTGTAGTAGGCTATATTAATAGACATGTTTCATATGGAAGAATCTTTTGTAATGGTGATCATGCTGACTTACACATTCACAGACATACTATTTTATGAATTCACATCTTTTCCTTTTGGGGGAATGGAACAGGTAAGTTGATTTGTTTAGTTTTGAAACAAGTTTCAGTTAAATCTGATACCACATAGGCCTCCCAAGTGCTGGGATTAAAGGTGTGTAAGTCATCACATCTACCTTTAGAGACATACTTTTCCCTCTTTCTATCTTTCTTTCTCTCTTTCTCTCTCTCTCTCTCTCTCTCTCTCTCTCTCTCTCTCTCTCTCTCTCTCTCAGACAGAGTCTCACTATATAGTCTTGGCTGTTCTGGAGCTTGCTATGTAGACCAGGCTGGCCTCAAACTTAAAGAGATACCTGCTTCTGCCTCAAGTGTGTACAACACCACCAGCTCACAACTATAATCTTAACATTTAGGAACTTGGATTCTGATTAACCAAAGTTTAAAATTATGAATATAAGTGTTATGCATGGTTTGTCTAAAATTGTGGGGTTATGGGAGAATTATTTTTGTTTGAGATAGGTTTTCATGTGGCCCAAGCTGGCCTTAGGCTTGCAATGTAGCAAAAAATGATCTTGAATGATTTTTTAAAAATATTTAATTATTTTTATTTTTGTTGTTGAGGGTATTGCCTGAATGTGTGTAAGTGTACCCATGTTGTGCAATGCCCATAGAGGTCAGAAAAGGGTGTTAAAGTCCCTGGAACTAGAGCTATAGATGGCCATTAGCCACCATGTGGGTGCTGGGAGTCAAACTCAGGTCCTATGCAAGAGCGGCCAGTGCCCTTAAACACTGAGCCATTTCTCCAGGCCCTTGAATTTTTTTTAAAAAAACAACTACTGATTTGTGTATATGTTTATGTACAAGCATATGTAGAGGGTGGGGGAACAAACTTCAGAAGTCAGTTCTCTCCTACTACGCTGCTTATTTTTTTGTCTATTTGATACAGACTAGAGTCACCTGAGAAGAGGGATGCTCAATGGAGAATTTTCTTCTATCATTCTGGCCTGTGGGACATGTCTGCAGGGCGTTTTCTTGATAACTAGTTGATGTAGCAGGGCCTAGCCTACTATGGGCAGTTCCGTCCCTGGGCTATGTAAAAAAAAGTAGCTGAGGGGCTGAAGAGATAGCTCAATGGTTAAGAGCACTGGCTGCTCTTACAGAGGACCAGGTTAACCACCAGTCGTAACTTCAGTTCTAGGGGACTCCAGTGATCTTCTGACCTCTACGGACATTGCACAACACAGCAGGTGCATTTACATACATGCAGGCAATACACTCATACAGGCAATATACTCATATGCATAAAATAAAAGGAAAAAGATAAAGTAACTGAGCAAGCCAGTAAGCAGCATTCCTCCATGGTCTCTGCTTCAGTTCCTGCCTCCAGGGCTCTGCTTGAGCTCCTGCCTTGGTTTCCCTTGATAATGGGCTGTAATATGTAAACCTAAATAAACCTTTCCTTCCCTGCTAGTTTTAGTCAGTGTTTTATCATAGTAACATAAACTAAGACAGAAATTGGTACCAGGAGTTACTTCTGTTTTAATTTCTTTTCTGTTGCTGTGATAACACCGTGACCAAAGGCAACTTAAATAAGGAACAGTTTATTTTGACTTAGGTTCCAGAGGGGTAAGAGTCCATCATGGTGGGGAGGCATAGCAGCAAGTGGCAGGAGCAGGAAGCTCACATCTTGAGCCCCAAACATGAAGAAGAGAGAGAAAACTGGAAGTGAGGTTGTTAGATTTAGGAGAGCAGAATAAGGAAGGAGTTTAAGGTTAAGAAATAAGAAACAGAGCCAGATCTGCAACAGGCAAGGAATATGTCCTCTTTAATTCAGGAGAACATAGCAAAGGGCCAGTTCTGTTTATGGATACAGACATCAGCAAGAATAAGCAGAACAATCTGGTCTTATATAGGAACACTGCTGAATACAGCTGTAGGAATTGGCTCCATGTCAGGTGTCAGTGTCCTTGGGGTACTTAAGGGTCTCCTTCCTGAGGCTTTTTTCTCTGGATAAGCAGGCACTAGTTATCTTTTGGCACAGCAGGTTGACTTTGCAAACAGTCTCTGTAGTGATAAGTTGATAAGGTCAGGCCACCAGAGCAGGCTATGGCACAGCAGGAGGTAAGCCACCCCTGTACCCAGTCTCTGTCAGCCAGGGAAGTGACTAGTTGATAAGGCCTGATCAAAGGCCACCCCTCCAGTTTGGGCTGTTTGGCTACCTTGAGGAATTTATGTCCTTATGGCAAGTTATACATGTCCTTATTGCAAGTTATACATTTTATCAGAGGTGAGGCTCTGAACTCTCAAAGCCTGCTCCTGGTGACATCTTCCTCCAGCAAGATGGCACCTCTTAGAGATTCCATAACCTCCCAAACAACCACCAACTGAGGACTAAGTATTCAAATATTTGAGCCTATGGGGGGCATTTTTTATTCAAACCACCACACCTACCATGTAGATCCAGAGAGATTAAACTGAGACTTATTGGCAAGTATCTTTTTCACTCACAGAACTATGACTCTGGCCCTGATCTTCAGCTTCTAATGCAACCTAGAGCTAAAAAAGTTGAAAATTAACAATAATTTTAAGTTCCCAATGCAGTTTAGTTTTATGTAAACTTGACACAAACTAGGGTCACCTGGAAAGTGAGAACCTCAGTTGAATTTCCTCCATTGAATTGATCTGTGGCCACATCTGTGAGGCATTTTATTAATTGTTAATTAATATAAGAGGGCCCAGCCCACTATGCAATGCCACTATGCAATGTATAAGAAAGATCACTGAGCAAGTCAGGGGGAAGCAAGCCAGTAAGCAATATTCCTCCATGGTCTCTGCTTTAGTTCCTGCCTCCAGGTTCCTGATTGAGTTCCTACCCTGGCTTGGTGAGTAACTACAGCCTATAAGGTGAAATAAACACCTTCCTCCCAAGTTGCCTTTGGTCATGGTGTTTATCATAGCAACAGAAAACAAAACTAGGACAGAATTTGGAACCAGAGAGTAAGATGTTACTGTGAAAAACTTGACTGTGTTGTTTTTTGGAGGAATATGGAAGACTTTCAGAAATTTGGACTAGAAAAGCTGTTGAATGCTATAAGCAGAGATTTCTATGGGCGTTTCTAATAGGAAACTGGGAAGAAAGTAGTGCTGAGAGCAATGTAGTTCCAGAGGGAAACAAGGACTTAAAACAATAACTGGGATATTTTTGCAAAGAATTTGATTGTCTTCTGCCCAAGGCCTAAGAACTTGCCTGAGATTAAATTTAAAAATAATGGACTAATTTTTTTGGTGGAGGAAATTTCAAAGAAAGCTTAATATTGATTATGTGGCTTTGCTATTACTGATAAATTTTATGCAGGTGTAAGTGGAGTAGAAAGAAATACAAAATGTGCAGTTTGGAGAGAAAGAGAGCACTGTGAAGCTTAATGTTGCAGCCAAGGAGTGTCCTAGAAGAGAGGCTATAATTGATAAGTAGATTAGCCCCAGTAAGAAGAGACCTGCTGATCTGTACTTGAACTATGGAAAGAGTACCCTCAAGAAAGAATTCGCCCAGCTAAGCTTTCAGCTTGTGAAAGAGAGCCTAAGGGGTTTTTGCTCCTAGGAAGCAATCACTTCCACATATAAAAGCTGCTGGTAATGTGAATGAAGGAGGGCAAGGTCCATCCTAAGCTGGCAGCCAAATTTGGGAGTATCATTGGTGCTTTAGAGGCATGAAAGATGCAAGAATGAGGAGGTCATGAATTCTTCCTCCATGTTTTCAGAGAGTTGCTGAGGCCAGGCAGCTTGTAGTCGGAAAGTCCCTGCATAAAGAAGGCTCTTGACAGGCCAAGAAGCCCTGAGAGGCCATTCATTGCATGAAGCTGTGAAGGTAAAGCCTGGGTTACAGTGGAGATCCAAGATGTTAGATGCCAGAGCTGGGAGACATCTGCCAAGGAAAGGTGCATACTGGGAGTGGAACCAGCCTGAGAGAAGTGTATATTGCAGGAAGCAAAGCTGGAGAGGGCTGAACCATCTAAGCACTTTAGAACTAAAGTCCCAGGCATCAAACATGGCACTATAGGATTTAGTGTTTGCCTTCCTGGTTTCTGATCTTGCTTTGGTCTGGTATTTCCTCACCATACCCTGATTCCTCCCTTTCGGAATGGGAATGTATGTTCAGTTCTATTGTATGTTGGAAGTATGTAATTTGCTTTTTGATATTTTTACAAACACACCCAAACACATATACTCATACACACACAAATAATAAAGCTTTAGGGGCTGGAGAGATGGCTCAGCAGTTAAGAGCACTGACTGCTTTTGCAGAGTACCTGGATTCCCAGCATCCACATGGCAGCTCAACTCCAGTTCAGGGGATCTGATGCCTTCTTCTGACCTCCATGGGTACTGCATGACATGGGTGCACTTACATGCAGGCAATACAATCATATGCATAAAATAAAAATATAAATAAAACATTTTTTAAAAATAATAAAATTAGGCTGGAGAGATGGCTCAGCGGTTAAGAACACTGGTTATTCTTGCAGAAGACCCAGGTTCGAATCCCAGCACCCACATGGCAGCTAACAACTGTCCATAATTCCAGTTTCAGGGGATCCGACAGCCTCTTCTGTCCTCCGTGGGGTGCACTTACCTACATGCAGGCAATATATGCATACACATAAAATAAAAATAATAAATAAAATACTTTAAAGAATAGGAAACAAAGTAAAACAGAATAAAAATGAGCAAAAAAAATGAAAAATTGAAAACACTCAAATTGTGCATGGCTGTGAATAAAACAGGAACCTCATGTTCTGGCAATAAAAATAATAATAAAAATAAATAAAACTTTGATTTTAGCAGTATGTAATCCACTATTTCATGCATTTAGTAATTTTCTAGATAGTACCATAAAACTCAATGTATGGTCTTAAAAATTACTTTATACTCTTTAGATTTGGGTATTGTTCATAATATTTGATATTGTAAATACATTCAGTTATGCCATTGTATAGAGTATGTGTCTCTTTTCTATTTCTTGTTGCATTCCTTCCTTCCACCTTTACCAGCTGAGCTATCTTTTGGGCCTCTATCTGTTTTTTGGAGACAGTCTCTTGTAATCCAGGCTGGCCTCAAACTTGCTATGTGGTCAAGGATGACCTCGAACTCCCTATCCCCTCCTCTACTTCCCAAGTTCTGGTATTACATCATACACTACCATGCCTAGTTTATGTGGTACTAGCGATCAAACCCAGGACCTGGTGCGTGCTTGGCAAGCACTCTACCAATTGAGCTACATCCTCAACCTATGTTTTCATCAGTTCATTTGGCCCATAGTTGATATATTTCAGAGAAAGGAAAAACATCAGAAGCTTTATCATTTTGTGTTTTTTCTTTCTAAGGGAATTACCTACAGAATTGCAGGGAGTTTTTGATAAAGAGGAGGTGGATGTTAAAGTTGAAGATAAAAAAAATGAAATATGTATATCTACAAAGCCTGTGTTCCAGCCCTTCTCAGGACAGGGTCACAGACTAGGAAGGTTAGTATATTTTTTTGTCTGTTTTCCATAGCAAACATTCTGTCATTATTCTAGCCATGCAGAACTTATTTTTCCTATTAGAAATGAATTTTTTTCTTTTTTGGTCTTTTTGAAACAGGGTCTCCTTGTAACCCCAGCTGTCCTGGAACTCACTATGTAGACCAGGCTGGCCTTGAACTCACAGTGATCCGCCTGCCTCTGCCTCCTGAATGCTGGGATCAAAGGTGTGTGCCACCACGCCCGGCTAGAAATGAAATTTTTTTCTGATACCAGGGGTCAGACCCATGCCATATACCTGTTAGGCAAGTACTTACTGCTGAGGTACCCAGCACCCAGATGAGATTAAGAGTGCTGGAGATTGAATCCAGGATTTATGCATGCTAGGCAAGTACTCTACCAACTGAGGTGTACATTTAGCCTTAGCCCCTTACTAATTTTGTGATTATTCCTAAATCATATATACCTTAGTGAATATTAACATATGACAACACTAATCCTGGGTATTTGGGGGGATTTATTAGATCAAAAGTGCCTACTGGGGACAAAATTGGATAAATCATTTTTTCTCCCTAGCACTGGGGCTTTGCTGTTAGTGCTAGGGCACCTCTGCTGACTTTTGAACATGAAAGTTCTCTTCAACACTGGAAAAAGTAATTTTTTTCGTTGTTGTTCTTTTTGAGACACAGTGTCCCTGTAGCCCCCAGCTGTCCTGGAACTCACTATGTAGACCATGCTGGCCTTGAACTCACAGAGCTCTGCCTGCCTCTGCCTCCTGAGTGCTGGGTGGGACTAAAGGCATGGGCCACCACACCTGGACCTTTTCACTTTTTTTTTGGTCTTAATGAATTCTTATATTACACTTCCCTGTAGTAAGGTGCATACATTTTCAACTTTGCATACAGAAATATCTGAAAATACCTTTCAAAATACTTTGTTTACTTTCTATTCCTTTATAACTCAAGGACTAACCTCTATAGAGAACAGGAATCTATCTTGGACCCTAGGTAAAGCTAATTTACATAGCATTTTGTAAGCTTACAGATTAGTTGGATGAGCATAACTTCGTTAGATTCCTAGAATTATTATATATTGTGGACACAACTAACATATTATTATTGAGGAAGTAGTTATGACTTCCTAAAAACTACTGTAAAAATTTTATAATAATGTAACAGTATGTATCTGATATTGTTGTCTGGATTTTCTTAGTGCTACACCAAAAATTGTTTCTAAAGCAAAGAATATTGAAGTTGAAAATAAAAATGCTATGTCTACTGTTTCACTGAACAACTTGGAACCCATCACCAGTGTACAGATCTGGCTAGCCAATGGGAAAAGAATCATCCAGAAATTTAACATTTCTCATAGGTGAGTCTTCCTTTTCTGTATTTGTCAGATTTTTTTCCCCCAAGTGTTAAGATCTATTTCTTAAGTTTAGAAAACACTGATTTTTGAGAACTAATGAAGGATTTTTAATAACTCTCTAAACTTAATGTGTCAATTTAAAATAGAATTCTCTGATATATTTTATATCTGGGGTGTTTTATTTTGGGAGATTTTGGGGGGGGCGGCACATGATCTTACTCTGTTGCCTAGGCTTCCTAAGTGCTAGGATTACAACCATGACCCAACGTGCCTGGCTCTCAGTCTGTTTTATGTATTTTCTTTCTGGCCATTTGATTAGTTTCTGTTTAACTATATTTATATGAAAAATTTGGTTGCTTTTAGTATGTTTTTGACATGAGATCTTTCTCAGGATGGCTTCAAATTTTCAGTCTTCCTGCCTTAGCTTCTTGAGTAGATGGATCATAGGCATGTACTACTATACCCATCTCTAAATATGTAATTTGAAAATAATTATTTTTTGCTTTTTTTTTTGAGACAGGCTCTATGTAACCCAGGCTGTGTGTGTATAAGTGTATTGCCTGTATGTAAGTGCACCTGTGTTGTACAATGCCTGCAGTGGTCAGAAGAGGACATCAGATTCCCCTGGAACTGGAGTTGCAGATAATTGTTAGCTTCCATGTGGATGCTGGGAATTGAACCCAGGTCCTTTGCAAGAGTAGCCAGTGCTCTTAACTGCTGAGCCATCTCTCCAGCCCCTACAATCTTGGTATATAGCTTTAGCTGGCCTAAAATTTGTCATATATAGATCAAGGTGACCTTAAACCTACAGCAGTCCTCCTGTGTTTGTCTCACTAAAGCTGGGATTACAGGCCTGTGTCACCATGCCCAGCATTTATTTATTTATTTATTTATTTATTTATTTATTTATTTATTTAATTTGTCTTTTTGAGACAGGGTCTCCCTGTAGCCCTAGCTGTTCTGGAACTTACCATGTAGATCAGGCTGGCCTGGAACTCACAGAAATCCGCCTGCCTCTGCCTCCTGAGTTCTGGGATTAAAGATGTGATGCCAGCCCCAGTTTTTAATATGTTTTAAAATCAGTCATTAGCATTATCTGCAAGGTGAGTATGGTGGCATGCACCTTAGTCCCAGATGCTCAGGAGGGTCATTTGAGCCCAGATGGTCAAGGCCAACTTGACAACATAGTGACATGCCATCTCCAGAACAACAGGAGGTTAATGCAGGAGAATTACAAGTTTGAGGCCATCTGGGATACATAATGAGTTGTACCACTTACTGTGGTATAATGAGGCCGGCCTGCAATACATAGTATGAAGTTCTGTGTCCCTGCTTCATACCAAAACTGTGTGTTTCTTCATCTTTAACTTTGTAATATCCTTCACATGAACCAGAAAAGGAAAAGTAAGTTCCAATTACTAACCAGACCAAGATGAATCTTTAGTTCAAGTTCAGCATAGGTTACATAACAAGACTGTTTCAAAACAAAAAGAGGCAAAAGAAAAACCAGAAAACTTCAAGGAGTGTGAAGAAAGAAAATGTTGGTAATTTGTAGCCCAAACTGAATTCTTTCATAAAAATGCTGTTTGTTACTCTTGATATAAAAGTGATGTATGGAGGTTGGAGAGATGGCTCAATGGTTAAGAGCACAGACTGTTCTTACAGAGGACCTGGGTTCGATTCCCAGCACCCACATGGCAACTAACAACCATCTGTAACTCCAGTTCCAGAGGATCCAACACCTTCTGACCTCCACAGGCATTGCATAACATAGATACGCTTACACACATGCAGGCAATACACACATACACATAAAATAAAATAATAAGCCTAATGTGGTAGTGCACGCTTTAATCCCAGTGGTTAGGAGGCAGAGACAGGCGGATCTCTGTGAGTTCCAGGACAGCTGGGGCTACAGGGAGACCCTGTCTCAAAAAGACTGAAAAAAAAATTAAAAAAAAATAAATAAAATATTAAAAAATAGCCGGACGTGGTGGCACATGCCTTTAATACCAGCACTCGGGAGGCAGAGGCAGGCAGATCTCTGTGAGTTCGAGGCCAACCCGGTCTCCATTAGAAAATCCAGGCCAGCTGCGGCTATAGGGAGACCTTGTCTCAAAAAAACAAAAACAAACAAACAGAAAAAAAAAAGTGATGCACCTCAAGTTAATTCACAAAGAAATGAAGAAGGCAGCCAGCCTTGGTAGTGCACACCTATATCCCAGTACTCAGGTGGGAGAGGCAGGAGGATGAGGAGTTCAAGGCCATTCTTGGCTACACAGCAAGTTTAAGGCCAGCCTTACATGTGTCCCAAAAGGGAGGAGGGACTAGAAAGATAATTCAGTGGTTAAGAGCACTAGCTGCTCTTGCAGAAGACCCAGGTTTGGTTCCCAGCACCCACATGACAACTGTCTTTAACTAGTTCCAAAGGATTCAATGTCCTCTTCTGGCCTCTTCAGGCATTGTATGCATGTACACTTACATAAATGCAGGCAAAACATTCATGCACATAAAATTTTTTAAAAAGTCAAAAAATAATAAAAAGAGAGAGAAACCTATTAGACTCCCAAGACTCAATTGATGAAGCTTTGCATTGAGAATGAATGAATCTAGAGAATGTTGCTCAAGGTCTTAGGTTAAATGGGGCGGGGCTGGGGGGGATGGACAGGGACCGACACTTTATGATAAAATAAAAATAAATAAAAAGCAAAGTGAAACCACTAAAGGAACTCCTAAAGCAGGAGACTCTGGCCAAGGTCAGAAAGTTCTGTGAAGGAAGAGCCATTACCACCAATTATCAGGCAAATGATGTTGATTACAGCACAATAGGTCTTAAATCACTGTTATAGTAACAAAGTATATGAAATCTTTTTAACTTAATAAATAGTTCTTTAGAGACTGGAGAGATGGCTCTGCTCAGCAGTTAAGAGCACTGACTGCTCTTGCAGAGGACCCAGGTTCCAATTCCCAGCACCCACATGGTGGCTAACAACCACCTGTAACTCCAGTTCCAGGGGATTTGATGATGCCCTCTTTTGACCTTCACAGGCATTGCACAACACAGGTGTGCTTACATATAGGCAATACACTCATATACATAAAAATAATAAAGAAAAATTTAAAATAATAACTCTTTGGTACATATGAAAGAAATATTCTAATAGTTTTTGCACAGTGGCAAACCAACATTTGGTGTCAAATTTCTTTCCAAAGAATACTCATTTTGCTGTATTTTTAGCTCAATTTCTTTTAAAATATGCAGTGTATGAGTGCCTTTCCTCTATGTATTTAAGTTGTACCCATGTGTACAGTACCTGCAGAGGCCAGAAAAGGATGTTGGATCCCCTATAACTTCAGTTACAAGTGGTTGTTAGCTGCATATGTGTGCTAGGAACTGAACCTGGGTCTTCTGTGCTCTTAACCACTGAGCCATCTCTCCAGTCCCTAGATAAGCACTCTTAACATTGATCTACCTTTAGCATATCACTGCTTTTAAAAATTTTATTCATTTTATGTGCGTGTTCAAGTGTGTGAATGTACACCACGTGTGCAATGGATGAAGAGATCAGAAGAGGATGTCAGAATCCCTGGAACTAGAGTTATAGTTTTGAACCACGTGATGTGGGTGCTGGGAACTGAACCCAGGTCCTCTGCAAGAAGAACAAGTGCCCTTAGCCACTGAGCCATCTTTCCAGCCTCCTACTATTTTTTTATTTTTTATTTTTTATTTTTTTTTTGAGACAGAGTTTCCCTGTAGCCCCAGCTGGCCTGGAACTTGCTATTTAGACTAGGCTGGACTTGAACTCACAGAGATCCACCTGCCTTTCCCTATTTTTTATAAGGGTCTGATTTAGCCCAGGCTGGCCTCAAACTTACTACATAACCAACTCCTGATCCTCCTGCCTCAGCCTTCCAAGTGCTAGGATTACAAGCATACACCAACATTGCCAGGTTGTTGAACTAAATTGATTAGGAAAGAAACAAAAATTGTTCTTCTAACAATATAAAATACAGTATGTAATTTATAACTTTATAGAACTTAGTATTATGTTTCGGGCACTCAACAATGTATTTACTGCAGCTAGGTCCCCTCCCCCTCCCTCTTCCCCCTTCGTCATTGCTGGGGACCTCACACATGTTATTTATTCACTTTATTTTTATTGGTAACAGTCCATGTTTGTTTATATGAATATGCCAGTTTTCCTATTGTTCAGTAAAATCATAAAAATCTTGTGCCAGAGAATAATCAGTCTTTCTTTCTCCTGTGTTTCTGGATACAGCTATATGAATCTTAGCAGGACTCATTTGTAGGGCTGCAGGTCCTTACTGTGTCTCCCACCTTCTTTAACCATCAAAGGACCAGAAGCACAAGAGGCAGGTCCCCATTGAAGAGTTTACTTGTGTCACTTGATAATGCCCTTGGGCCACAATATGACACCTGGCCATGTTCTATTTGTACAGAAGACTCCTTTCCCTGGGGCCCATTGGTATATTTATTTTTGTTTTTTTATGTGTATAAATGTTTTCATGCACCATGTGCATGCAGTAGCCATAGAGGTTAGAAGAGAGTGCTAGATCCCCTGGAATTGGAGTTACAGGTAATTGTTAGCCACCATATGAGTGCTGAGAACCGAACCTGGGTCCTCAGTTCACCCATTGGCATCCTTTCGTAAATCAAATGTCTGGATCTGTTCTAGACTCTCCACTCTGTATTTCATTGGTCTGTCTTTCCTTTTGTCAGCTCCAACTCCACATTGCTTTGTAAGTTTTCTTTTTCCCCTAGAACTAGATCGTACTATATCATATATCATGCTATATCATATATGATATATATCCATCACTTTTTGCTTATTTTGTCAGTTACAAGAAGGTTGTTCTATTTTGTTTCTCCATTGCTGTGACAAAATACTCTGACCAGTACCAACTTGGGGAAGAAAAGGTTTGGCATACATCTGGGTCACAGTTCATCAGGGAGCCCAAGGGAGGACCTCAAATAGGAACCT